AAGCAAATTGCAATATTAAACTATTTCCTTTAATTAATTCCCTTTTAATGTACACAAATTTTGTGCATCTGGCCACTAGTATGCATGTAAGTTATTTTGCTACTCTCTGCTCACCCTTCCCCACTCACTTCCCTCTGAGATCTGTCAGTCTGTGCCACACTTTCATGCCTCTGGGCATATTTTGTTTGGCAGTTTATTTTGTTCATTAGATTCCACATATAAGTAAGATCATGATACTTGTCTTTCTCTGACTGGCTTATTTCGTTTAGCCATACTACTCTCCAGGTCCCTTCACATATCAAAGTATAAGAGATCCTTCTTCTTTTTTTTTTTTTTTTACAGCTGTAGAGTATTGTGTAAATATACCACACCTTTTTTTATCCACTCATCTATTGCTGGGCACTTGGGCTGTTTCCAGATTTTAACTATTGTAAATAATGCTTCTATGAACATTGGGGTGCATATATTCTTTCTGATTGGTGTTTCAAGATTCTTATAATATATTAGAGGCCCCGTGCATGAATTCGTGCATGGGTGGGGTCCTTGACCTGGCTGTGATCGGGGTCGAGGGGGGCTACAGAAGGTTGGCCAGCCAGGGGAAGAACCCTCAGGAATTTGGCTGGCCGTAGGAGGTTGGCTATGGGAGTGCACTGACCACCAGGGGCAGCTCTTTTGTTGAGCACCTGCCCCCTGGTGGTCAGTGTGCATCATAGTGACTGGTCATTTAATCATTCAGTTACTTAGGCTTTTTTATATATATAGATTCCCAGAAGTGGGATTGGTAGGTCATAAGGCAGTTCCAATTTTTTAAATATATTTTATTGATTTTTTACAGAGAGGAAGAGAGAGGGATAGAGAGTTAGAAACATCGATGAGAGAGAATCATCGATCAGCTGCCTCTTGCACACCCCCTACTGGGGATGTGCCCGCAACCAAGGTACATGCCCTTGACCGGAATCGAACCCGGGACCTTTCAGTCCGCAGGCTGATGCTCTATCCACTCACTCAAACCGGTTTTGGCAAAGCAGTTCCATTTTTAATTTTTTTGAGGAAACTCTATACTGTTTTCCATAGTGGTTGCACCATTTGCATTCTCACCAACAGTGTACTTGGGTTCCTTTTTCTCTACATCCTCACTGAAGGGTTTCAGGTTTGATTCCTGGTCAAGCACACATACCTGGATTTTGGGTTTGCTCCCCACCTCAAGTGGTGGCACATGTCTTTCTTACATCAATATTTATCTCTCTCTCTCACCCCCTTCTTCCCTCCCTTTCATTCTCTCTGAAGAGCAATGGAAGAAATATCTTTAGGTGAGGATTAAATAAATAAATACATAAATTAAAAAAATACTTCTATGTGAGATGTCTGAGATTTTACTGCCTATTTTATTTTAGGATTTTTATGGTTGCATGACTTACATTTAAGTCTTTTATCCATTTTGAATTTATTCTTGTATTTGGTGTAAGTTGGTATTCTAGTTCCATTTTTTTTGCACACTCCTGTTCAATTTTCCCAAGACAATTTATTGCAGAGAGTTAACTCCATTGTATATCTTAATTCCATTGTATGTTCTTGCCTTGTCAAATATTAATTGGCCGTAATAGTGTGGGTTGACTTTCTGGGCTCTATGTTCTGTTTTATTGATGTATATGCCTGTTTTTGTGCCAGTACCAAGCTGTTTTGATTACAATGGCTTTGTAGAGTAGTTTAATATCTGGTATTATGATCCCTCCAACTTTGTTCTTCTTTCTCAGTATTTCTAAGGCTGTTCAGGATCTTTTTTGGTTCTATATAAAGATTTTGGAATATTTGTTCTAGATCTGTGAAATATGCTGTCGGTATTTTAATAGGGATTGCATTGATTCTATAATTTGCTTTGGTGTTATGGGCATTTTAATTATGTTAATTCTTCATATCCAGGAACACAGTATGTTCTTCCACTTGTTTGTATCTTTCTCTATTAATTTTTCCAATGTCCTATAGTTTTCAGAATATAGGTCTTTTACCTCCTTGATTAGGTTTATTCCTAGATATCTTATTTTTTTATTGCATTGGTAAATAGGTTGTTTTCTTGATTTCTTTTTCTGGTAGTTCATTATTGGTGTATAGAAATGCTATCAAATTCTTAATATTACATTTGTATCCTTCTACTTTGCCAAATTAGTTTATTAGACCATTTTTGGTGGAGTCTTTAGGGTTTTCTATGTACAATATCATGTCATCTGTAAATGATGACAGTTTTACTTCCTCCTTTCCAATTGGATGCCTTTTATTTCTTCTTGTCTAATTGCTGTGGCTAGGACTTTCAATGCCATGTTGAATAAGAGAGGTGAAAGTGGGCATCCCTGTCATGTTCCTGATCTTAAGGGAAAATGGTTTCAGTTTTTGCCCACTGAGTATGATGTTGGCTATAGGTTTGTCATATATGCCCTTTATTAGGTTGAGGTCTCATTCCTATTTCCACTTTGCTGAGAGGTTTTTTTTGTTTGTTTTATTTTGTTTTTTAATCACAAATGAGTTCTGAATTTCGTTAAATTCTTTTTCTGTGTCTGTTGATATGATCATGTGATTTTTATTCTTCATTTTGTTTATGTGATGCATCACATATTTTGATTTGTGAATATTGTACCAGCCTTGCATCCTTAGAATAAATCCCATTTGGTCATGGTGTATGATCTTTTTTTTTTTTAATATATTTTATTGATTTTTTACAGAGAGGAAGAGAGAGAGATAGAGAGCTAGAAACATCGATGAGAGAGAAGCATCGATCAGTTGCCTCCTGCACACCCCCTACTGGGGATGTGCCCGCAACCAAGGTACATGCCCTTGACCGGAATCGAACCTGGGACCCTTCAGTCCACAGACCGATGCTCTACCACTGAGCCAAACCGGTTTCGGTGGTGTATGATCTTTTTAATGTATTGCTGGATCATATTTGCTAATATTTTGTTGAGTATTTTAGTACCTATGTTCATCAGGGATAGTGGCCTATAATTTTCTTTTGTTGTAGTTTATCTAGTTTTGAAATTAGCATAATTCTGGTCTCATATAAAGAGCTTGAAAGTCCTCTTTCTTCTTGAAATTTTTAGATAGTTTGAAGAAGGTAGGTGGTAGTTCTTAGAATATTTGGTAAAACTCATCTGCGAAGCTACCTGGTCTAGAACTTTTGTTTTCTGGGAGGCTATTTATTTATTTATTTATTTATTTATATTTTATTGATTTTTTACAGAGAGGAAGGGAGAGGGATAGAGTTAGAAACATCGATGAGAGGGAAACATCGATCAGCAGCCTCCTGTACCGCCCCCGCTCCCCCCCCCCCCCCACTGGGGATGTGCCTGCAACCAAGGTACATGCCCTTGACCATAATTGAACCTGGGACCCTTTCAGTCCATAGGCTGACGCTCTATCCACTGAGCCAAACCAGTTTTGGCTTTTTTTTTTTTTAGACTATTGCTTCAATTTAATTAGTTATCAGTCTATTCAGTTTTCTTATTCATCCTATTATAATTGAGTTTTAGAAGATTGTATGTTTCTAGGAATTTGTCCATTTTGCCCAGGTTGTCCAATTTGTTGGCCTATATTTTTAAATAATATTTTTTATAATCCTTTGTATTTCTGTGATGTCAGTTGTTAGTTTTCTTTTTTCATTTCTGATTTATTTATTTGGGTCCTCTGTCTTTTTTTCCTGATGAGTCTGGCTAAAGATTTATGAATCTTGTTTATCTTTTCAAAGGACCAGCTCTTGGTTTCATTGACCTTTTGTATTATTATTATTATTATTATTATTATTACTTTAGTTTCCATGTCATTTATTTCCACTCTGATTTTTATTATTTCATTCCTTCTACATACTCTTGTATTAAAATTTTCTTTTTAACCTTAATGAAAGTGCTTTGAAAAAAACCCTTAATATACTTTGGAGAGATCTTTCTATAACAATGCATAGAGATCTATATAATTTAAGGGATGCATATTATTTTGTAGTAAACATATACTACATTTTTAAATCACTCCCCGTTCTCTATATATAAAAGGCTAATATGGAGTTCGACCAGGAGACTGGGAGTTCGATCACTTACTGTGATGTGTGCTGAACATTAGGGGGTGGTGCGGAATGAAGGAAGGCTCTGTCAGGCAGGCAGCTGGGGGAAGGGAGGCCCCAATCAGCCCTGATCGCTAGCCAGGCCTAGGGTCCCTACCCATGCATGAATTTCATGCACCGGGTCTCTAGTTTTTGTATAGTTGGTTATTTCCTTTTTTTATTTTTTTATTTTTTTTTCCTATTAATATAACAATCATGGAGCAGTGAATATCCTGTAACATAGATATTTGTGAATGTGTACAAGTAGCTTTGAGGATTTATTTGGAGAAGTAGTATTGTATCAAGGGGAAGATATATTTAAACTTTTGATTGCCATGTTACTCTTCAGAAATGTGCATATACTCCCACTTTCAGAATGACTGCTGATTTCCCCCACCATTAGCAATACTTAATACTGTCAATTTTTTTTTTATTTTTTTACAGAGAGGAAGAGAGAATGATAGAGAATTAGAAGCATCGATGAGAGAGAAACATCGATCAGCTGCCTCTTGCACACCCCCTACTGGGGATGTGCTGGCCACCAAGGTATATGCCCTTGACCGGAATCGAACCTGGGACCTTTCAGTCCGCAGGCCGACGCTCTATCCACTGAGCCAAACTGGTTTTGGCTACTATCAAACTTTAAAGGTGTTTTTTTTTTTCCTCCAAAAATATCACACAAATTCATTCTCACTATAAAACAACCACAGGAAAGCAAAAGCAGAAATGCCTTCTTGACCATCATCACCTAATAACAATCTCGGGAAATTTATTTCCACCTTGCTATTAATTTTCTATTGATGGTTTCATTATGCTTCATCTTCTTAGGAATAACTTCTTAATAATTAACTCAAGCTCCCTAGACGTATTCTTAAAAATCATTTGGACTTAACTAAGTTTTATTCGTTCATTGACTCACCATTATCTTCTGAGATGGTATCATCATCATTTTCATCCCCTGATCCAGGTGTCTTTGACATTGTCTATCTTTGAGACTCTATGTTAGAAGACAGAAAATTCATTTTTACAGTAGCCCTCTCCATATCATTATGGTGTCATGGATTCATTAACTCTAGATCCTTAATCAATTATCAATTTTATCCTATTTGTTTCATATCTTCAAGAAAATCCCAACAATTCTGGCCTGTTAATCACACCCTTCCCTGTTACCCCTTGTGGTTATGGCTCTATTTTTATATTTTTTCTTCTTTCATTTAAAGCTAATTTGGGGAGAAAAGCACATTTGTTCAGACTAACATCTTAAACTGGAAGTATAACATGTCTTTTAAATATTATGATGGCTTAAGCCTCTGCTGGCTTGAATGCTAAGAAATAGTCTCCTTTCAAAGTGTCCTCCAGCTAATTTGGAGGGTTTTCCAAAGTATAATCTTACTTGTGATCTGAATCAAGTATCTCATTATCTTTTATTTTGGTCTTTTCAACAGGCTATAGTGCTGTGGCTATTGAGGGTCCTCTTGTGGTCAGATAACTATGGCTCTAACATGTTTTTCTCTAATTTCTCCATATCACAGATGAGTAAAGGCTGTTACTTCTAATATGCTTTTTCTACATTTTTGGGTATAATGAAGGGTAACATAAAGAATAATTTAAAATTGCCCAAAGATGTGATATCACTCAGACTCTTGGTCAAAAGCAGATAAAAAGTTTGTAATGAATACCCTCCCAGCATTTTACCATCTCTAATGAGGGGGTTAACTCACCGTCCCAGAAGAGCCAATAGGATTTGTTGTTGTCCTATTCTATATCTAGTCAGATCTGAAACCAGAGGGCTAAGAAGAGTTTTAGTAAACAGTAATCACCATAGCAACGTTTGTGCTCTTTCTTCACGTGAAGTTCTACCCATGGATTTTATGTATATTTAATGATTTCAAGGATGATTGACAGCAGATTTGACCAATCCCTTCAGGGGAAACCCTACTAGCCCAGAAGGGGCCTGGTTGACACCAAAATAAAAAATAAAAAAAAATAAAACTCAAATGATCTGAAATAGATTTCCCCAAGTCTGGGTTATTCTATACAAAGACGGGCCCATTTCCTACCTAATACCGCTGGAGACTTCCTCCTGCCTTTGTGATACCACACCAGTGAGGAAGGGGCGGGGTTTTAGACTCTCCATGTAGTCTCCACAGAGGGGGGAGGGGAGAGGGGACTAGGGGGCGGGGCTGCAGATGGGAGCCTGCCCAGGTTGGAGTCTAGGCTCCCCACTTGGCTATTCCTGGAGTGGGTGAAGCTGGGATTACATTTTTTTTCCATTGAGGGTGACTAGAGTAAATCAGTTATCTAAAATTTTCTGTCTTGCCAGGTTGCTCCTTTCCTGATCCTCTGTCTAGCGAGAGCAGAATTTTATGAGAGCTTTAGTTGTCTGTGCTGGTTAGTGTTTCATACATATCTTTTTCCACTATTGTGAATGGGATATGTTTTTTCCTGTTTCTATTTCTGTTATTGCTAAAATAAAAGAAAGCTATTGGTATATAATAAAATTTTAATTATAAAATCTAAGTGGTGGGTATAGTGGTGTTTATGGTAAAATTCTTTAAACTTTTCTGTCTGAAAATTATTATAATAAAAGTTGGAAAATAGTAAAACAAAAGGGAGCTTTTTAAAAAATATATTTTATTGAGTTTTTACAGAGAGGAAGAGAGAGGGAGAGAAAGCTAGAAACATCGATGAGAGAGAAATATCAATCAGTTGCCTCCTGCACACCCCCTACTGGGGATGTGCCCGTAACCAAGGTACATGCCCTTGACCGGAATCGAACCTGGGACCTTTCAGTCTGCAGACCGACGCTCTATCCACTGAGCCAAACCGGCTTCAGCAGGGAGCTTTTTTTTTTTTATAGTGCTTAGAAAAAAAGAAATCTATGGGATTTGGTATATTTATCTTACATCCAGCTTGTATCGTTTAAGACTCTTGTTTGCAGGTGACAAATATTCAACTTGTATAAGCTTAAGAAGAAAATGGAGTTCATTCATTGTTTTTTTAACTGGGAAGGACAGGGCAGATCTCAGACAGGCCAGGGACTCAAATGGTATTAGGCTCTCACTCATCTCTTCGTTTTTATTCTCGGCCTCTCTTTTTTTTTAATTTCCTCATTCTCTAAGATTCTTCTAAATACTAGAGACAGGGCTACCAATTGCTCTTAGGATTCAAGATTTAAATAAAAGAGAAAGCTACTTCTTTACCTCTGATTTGGAATATTCTAAGAAAGGTCTTATATCTCTGGCCTGGTCACATGGCTTCCCCTTGGAGCTGCCACTGTGTTCAGAAGAATTTGATTTTATGGGTAGCTCATCCAGGGTTAGGGGCCCAGCCAGGCACATGTGTATACAAGGAATGGAGTAGGACAGTTTCATAGCTCATCCTACCAGGACAGTGAGTGAATGGTAGACCTCCAAAGGAAGAAGAGTGCTATTATCAGAAGCAGGGAGAAAGGAATGCTGGGCAAACCAAAACAGTAGATGTTCACAACATAGACTTCTCAGTTCTAATAGTTTTTAAATTGCATTTCTTGGATTCTCAATGCATATAATCATATAATCTGCAAACAATTATTCTTTTTTTCCTCTTTTTGTCTTTTTTCCTTTTAGATTTATAGAGCTTATTTCATTTTCTTGGTTCATTATATTTCAGAACCTTCAGAACACTATGGAGGACATCCGTGTCTTATTTGTAAATTTCATGGGAAGTGACTTGATTATGATGTTTGCTCATGGCTTTTTGATGCTCTTTAGAAAGTTCTCTTCTATTCCATTGAATTTTTATAAGGAATGGCTGCTGATTTTATTAATTTTCATTGAGGTAACATTAATTAATAATACATTACAGGCATATCACATTATAATTCAGTACCTATATGTACTATTGTATGCTTACCACCAAAAGTCTAGTTTCTATCCATTAATATAAATTTGATCCCCTTTATACATTTCCCTCTCCTCCCCCTTCCCTCTGGTAACCACCATTCTATTTGTGTCTATGAACTTATTTTTGTTTTCTTTTTAAAATTTTTATATATTTTATTGATTTTTTACAGAGAGGAAGAGAGAGGGATAGAGAGTTAGAAACATCGATGAGAGAGAAACATCGATCAGCTGCCTCTTGCACATCCCCTACTAGGGATGTGCCCGCAACCAAGGTACATGCCCTTCACCGGGAATCGAACCCGGGACCCTTCAGTCCACAGGCTGACGCTCTATCCACTGAGCCAAACCGGTTTCAGCTGAACTTGTTTTTGTTTTGTTACATTTGTTCATTTGTTACTTTTTTGTTTTATATTCTGGGTATGAGTGAAATATGGTTTTTGTCCTTTTCCATCTGACATTTCATAGTAAACATAGCATCAAGTCAATAACACAATGTAGCAAATTGTTGATATAGCTAATTTCTGGGAGATGATATTAGAGAAGGGCACATATATTTCTACATCAATATATGATATGTATATCTTGTGTATCATCTCCTGTATATTTTCCAAGAGAATTACATCTGGTGATATGCTAATGGCCCAGATTGGGTGAGTGGGGGTAGATTGTGGGGGCAGGTGGGGAAGGTTGGTAGAGTCCTTGTCCCTAGTTTCTAAGCACAACTCTTGGAGTGACCTAGTGGTATTTAATGGTCTCTGAGCATCCTATTGGTGGCATTTGCATTAAAGACCTTTCCTCTTGGTGCTGAGAGTTGCTCTGCTAGAAGTGAGGAGGGCCTAGTTTGTAAAATCAGAGTTTTCTGGGCTGCTTTGTAATGTTAGCTGTGCAAAGGCTCAAGGAGGTCAGAGGCCTATTTCTTGTGGTGGTGAATAGCAGGGTGCAAAAGCTGCTTTTATAGGAGGCTCACTTAAGGAAAGTTTTTCTGATCTTGAACTTGTATGGAATTGGTAGAAGCCCCAGAGTATGAAGGCCTTATCTCTGGACATTGTAATTGGCACTGACAGAGGCTATTGTTTACTGTATATGGTTCTGTAGAATATTTGGCAATTTTCAGGGAGCAGGGAGAACAATCTCTGTCTCCTTCATACCCACTTCAAAGTGAAGAGTTTCTCTCTTTCCCTCCCTCCCTCCCTCCCTCCCTCCCTCCCTCCCTCCCTCCCTCCCTCCCTCCCTTCCTCCCTCCCTCCCTCCCTCCCTCTCTCTCTGTTTGTGTGTGTGTTGGAGATAGGATTAAATATATCCTCTATTCTGCTAGTCTACAAACCTTGATTGCTAATGCCAGGATGCCTCTGTCAGAAGAGGAAAGCTAGACTTTTAATACTTGGACTACCCAAAGTGATGCCTTTTTCTAAATAATTCACCTCAAAGTGGTACTTTTTCTTTCACAATTTTTCTGCTCCAGGGTGGTGCCTGCTTGTTGGTGCCTTGGCTTTCTCAGAAGCAGTGCTATGCAAATACTAGATTTATAAATCCTAATGGGCCTCTATTGGAAGTCCTGAGAGACCAGAAGTTATCACGAGAAGAGGCCCTTTTCCCTTGCCTCTCAGAGTGAGCCCTGGCCATTCTCCTTGCCTCAGGCAAATTGACATAAGAAAATGACTTTGGTCAGATTAGATCAAGATGGAAACATAAATGCTTGTAACTTTGTTCCCCTCTTCTCTTCCCCAAGTCCCTTAAAGCATCAGAGTAGAAAAAACAAACAAACAAAAAAAACACACAAACAACCAAGAATGGTATAATAACGGAAAATGTACCATCAGTAGTTCAGAGATTGAGATGAATTCCTTGAGTATAGAAATCATATATGATCATATTGATAAGAGAGGAGTAGTAAATTAGAATTAGAATCTAAAAATCAGAGTTTTAAAAATTAGATTTAAAAATTAAATCTAATTTAATTTTTACCATTAATACCGGCACATCCCCGGTAGGGGGTGTGCAAGAGGCAGCTGGTTGAAGTTTCTCTCTCATCAACGTTTCTATCTCTCTTTCTCTCTCCCTTCCTCTCTGTTAAAAATCAATAAAATATATTTAAA